CAACTACTACGTAGTATATATATTATTTTACCAACTGAACGCAGCCCCAATCCAAGCTATATTTTGTACATACATATAATAGCGATGTAAGCCATGCACTTGATTTGTGGGGCGGACAGGGGGCTTTATTATGACGCACTACTCTGTTCCGAAACATTTGTCAGGGTCTTTTTCATTTGATTTAAGTATAGGGCGTTCACTCCAAAGAACTTGATTTTTGTATGCAACTCCCAAACAACATATTTACGTCTAAAATTATATTGTATTTTTTTAACTTGACGTCGACAACTTAATCAAGAAAATTTATCAAGGCCTCCATGGTGGCCACCTCGCCCAGCCGCTCATGCAAATGAGTTAACGCATTCTCATACCAAGAAGCATCGCACTCGATATTATACAATGCAAAGTTAGCAATGGATGCATCCTTCCAACGTTATTATTTTTATTAATTTTAATTAAATTGTTTTTTATATTTTGTTTTATATGAGGAAGTTTGTAGTCATTGCTCCCATGTATTTCAATGGACTTTTCCATAACTTTTTGAAGCGTTATGAATGTCTTTGCAAGTTTATCCGTCGGCAACTCATAGATAGCGCTTTCTACAGCATCAATACAGTGAACTCGGTATTAACTCACAAGTGTGGTACACCCATAATTTTATTCATCTGATCCTTTCTAAGTGTGTCGCGGCGAAAATGCAAAATAATGACCTAGCTGCTGATTGGATAGCAAAAGGTGATCTGCGTGACGATCACCTATTGGTTCGAAACGTAACTCCAATAATTCAAATTTTGAAATGCAAACATCCATCCTCCGCCAGCGCGTCCAAAAAGGCTACAGCCTCGGTGACAGAATCAAGCTTCTGCGTGCGTACGAAAACTCCTCTCTTTCCGCCTGTGCCATTTGCGCCATTGAAGGGATTGCGCGGTCCACGTGGCAGACTTGGCTCACCAAGAAGGCCAAGTACATGGCCACTACGCGGAACAAGAAGCTCTCCTCGCTTGGTGGGCAAGGACGCCCGGTGCACATGACGTTTGGAACTGACCTCCTGGCCTACATGAGAAAGGTTAGAGGCGATAGCCACAACCTCACGACGTCGCACATGATAACTTGGCTGAAGACCCATCAACCAGAATGGCTGGAATCCTACCTCGGGAACAAGACCAACGACGACCGAGCGTACAAGTGTCTGTTGGCGATGTGCCAACGTTTTGCCCATCGCCATGGTTTTGCCCAGCGAGTACCGTGTTTCTCGAAGTTGAAGAAAGCCGAGCTCCAAGAGCTCCAAATGTCGTTTTCGGCGTCCTTTTGGACGAAATACGGAGATCAGCCGCTGCGCGACATCGTCAACGTTGACGAAACTGCGGTGAACTACGACATGCCGCCAAGACGAATTTGGTGTGAAGTTGGTGAAACGTCGGAGGTCGAAGCTAAGGAGAAGCATTCCGTTCGGCTTACAGCGGTGTTGGCAATTTGCGCCGATGGTATGTTTCTTGAATATGTTGTATATATTTGATCTTTATTATTGAGTTTATATATTCTGCTATTTCTATATTCAATTATTGTATAATCTACTAGTAAATTCATTATTGTAAATTTTTCGTTGTACTGTACATGTAAACTCCTTTGTGTATTGAATTCATCAATTTGAGAACAGCACCTTCGTGATGAAATTCTTTGACTTCACCGATCTTGCGGCCACTTCCTCATCATCATATGCATAGTACCTTCGCTTGACCTTTGTCAAATAGAACCACTTTTCATCGATATTCACATATTCGTGCATATCGGAGAAGCAGTGGCGTCCATTTGGCAAAGGTCGAATGAAGGACAATGCATACCTTAAACGAGCTTCGATGTTGCCTTGCGTGAGGAAGGGCTTGACATAGCTTGACTTAGACTTGAACCTTGGTGTGGCCTTCTTGTGTTGGAAGATCGTCGTCATTGGTATTCCACTCGCAGCAGAGAGCGACAGAAGTGTCTGTCGCGACATGTGGGGCACTCCACGTATGGCGCTTTCAATTTCTTGAGTCGTTCGCTTAGGTTTTCGGCCAGTATTCCCTATTGAAGTAAACCTTTAATATTCTATGATTCGTACAATAAATATATTTATAGATTTATAGAGTACTACCACGCATTTTCGTGCTAACATCGGCGGTGTGGCCACCGCCGCGAACCGAGAGTCGTGCACGTTGCCAGAGGCGAGAGATCGTCCGTACGTGGCATCCAACCTGTTGTGCGGCCTTGGTTATCACTCCACGAGGAACATATCACCCACGGACGCGCGTAGGAGTTCATATACTCCACGGTGGTCCTCCAACGTCAGGTGCTTGTGGCCGTTCTGGGGCTGTGGGGTAGCAACGGGGGCACCGGCATGTTCACCGTTGGGCTTAGCAGGCATGTTTTGGTCGTGTATGTATGCACGTAGGACGTTGGAGGTGTCAAATTGTAATGTGAACTACTGGCGCGTCATGGACAGTGTTTTAGGGATGACTCGCCAACTTTGAGGTGTCATATCTCAACAACAAAATCGACCTGGAAGGCTAAAAAACTACCCAATCAAAGCTGAGATCTTGCGCGTTTTGATGCGCCAATCAGATAAGAAAATGGCGTCATATTAGAAAAAATCCGCCAATCGGAAGTGCAAAGTGACAAATGTTTCGGAACAGAGTAGTATTGACTTGGTGCTTTGAAATACATTATTGACAGAATATTTGAGTTTATAGAATAGTAGTTGAGCAGCCCTAGCTTGATACTATCACTAAGCCCTTTGTCGACGACTCGAATCCGATTGTTCCCGAAATAAAAATATTCTACGTAACGATACTACCGGTACCCCGACAACCAAGTGAAGTCTACGCGTAGCTCACTGAAAGGTGGGGGAAATAGGTAGGTACTTATATATAGATTAATGCTTCGAAAAACTTCGACGTACAGTATAAGGAACATTTGTAGTTGTCGAAATATATTTTTGTGTTCGTGTATTTCACTGCCACAAACAGTAACTGTAAGTCAGCGAATCAAAAGCACTTCAAATAAAACAAGAGTATCCATCCGATAACGCTATGAAGCTGGAGACACAAACAACGTTAACTCACATTGCTCATTGACATTGTCAAATCGATTCGAAATTGGAGCCACCAGCAGTACTTACTCGAATTACTACCTGCAATGGTACAGCTTCCGTTGAATACAAGTACTGTTACAATACTACTACTACAGTAAGGATAAAAACTTGTGGCCATTTGACTTTTTACTGGTGTTCACCGAAAATGTCATGTGTTGGTGTTTTGCTCGTGGTTAAGCTGTGGAACTTAACGAGAATTGCTTGGGCATATCTAGCCTCATGCGTATCGACGCTTAGGCATTCGAACTGTATGGTATGGCCAGCACTACAGCTCACAAAGTAAAACTCTAACACGATTACCTTCGTAAAGATATAGGGCCCACGGCTTGTTTGCTTGTTTTACGTTAGCTATGATGGAGTGATATTACACTTACTGGGCTGCTCGACTACAAAGCAACAACCCAGTAATGCCCACTAAGTAAAACTCCACCACACCATTTATCCACGAGTGAAGAAGCCCCATGTCTAACTCTACCTAAACATCCATGAGCAAAACCCCAAAACACCACTAGTGAAAAGCTGCCTCCCCAGTACGTAGCATTCACCGTTGGTACGATTAACGGTGTACAACGTTGTATGCCTTCGTGTTTCACGTGAACGATAGGATGTACTTATCGTTGCAAGCAATTAGTCCCACCCACTTACTCAGGGACATTTTAGGTCAATAGTACCAAATTCCCTGAGTGAGTGGGTTTTGACCAATTGAGTGGGTGTGTCACCCACTCACTCGGGGAATTGGTCCGGATAAACGCGAAGGAAATAACCCACTGATTGTGGGCTACCTGGTAAAATCGGACTCAAAAGCGGAAAAACGCGAAGGAAAAACGGAAAATCGGACGAACCCACTGAATGTGTATCGTTTGGTGGTAATTCTGAGGCAACCAGCTGTGGATACAGTGGTATTTGGGGTGAACGGGCGCAATGGCAAACACCGAAAAACGTTCAATAAATCTGAAAACCGACCAGCCATATCTGAAAACCGTTCAAACCCACGGAATGCATGTCATTCTACTGACCAACTCCCCCACAGCAGGGGTACCACCCCTGCTGGGGAGCCGAAACATACCTGTTCTGGGGGAAATTAGAAATAACAGATAATCGACCGGATGCACATACTCCTGGCATAGATCAGCAGCTCGCTTGAACCATTCAATTCATCCGGTTAATCAAAATTTAACCGAAATCGGGTCGAATGCCCAGAATCCAATTTGTGCTATGAGTGGCTTCGTTTCCCATGAGTACTTGC